GGTGTTCCTTTCACTTAGGTAAATATCTAGCAGTGGGATTGTTGGGTCATGTGGTAAGTGTATGTTTAGTTTTGTAAAAAACTGTCAAACTTCTCCAAAGTGGCTGGTACCCATTTTGCATTCCCACCAGCAATGAAAGAGAGGTTCCAATTGTTCCACATCCACTCTCACTTGCCTTTTTTTTTTTTTAGCTATTCTAGTGTAGTCATGTGTCACGTAACGACATTTCGATTAATGACCAACTGCATACATGACAGTGGTCCCATAAGAATAATACCATATAGCCCATGTGTGTAGTAGGCTATACCATCTAGTTTGTGTAAGTACACTCTATGATGTTCGCACAATGACGAAATTGCCTAACGATGCATTTCTCAGAACGTATCCCCATCATTAAATGATGCATGGTTGTAGGTGTGTGTCATAATTTTTATTAGACCAATATTGAAGGTTTACATTTTAAAACAATGTAAATAGTATTCCTAGCTGAGTCATGTAGTATACCATGATTACTCTTCTTTGTGTATAATTTTGGTTTTGCCTCTTTGTTTAAATTTTAGTTTCCTCTGTATCTATAATTAATTCATCCAAGCTCTCTGCCAGAAATATAAATATCCTTGCAATACATTTAGACAAATTAGTTGATTTATCAGTATGATTGATTTCATGGAAGCATCTCATGGAGCCCTCCATCCTCCTGTTTCCATCTGGATGGGATGCTCAGCTGTCCTGGGATCTCCCTTCACCGTTGTTCTGGGGACCACTTCACTTCTCTCATGTGTGGGAGCCCATGTTACTCTTTCATTTTGGTAGAGCATAACATCCAGTTGCTTCCTGAGGGCTAATCTTGAGATATTACATGTCTGAAAAGGTCTTAATTCATACTCGACTAAGAGTTTGGCTAGGTATAGAATTCTAGACTAGAAATAATTTTCTCACAGATTTTGAAGATCTTCATTGTCTTCTGAAGACAGAACCTGTCTTCACAGGTTGGTGTTGAAAAGTTTGGTGAAAGTTGAATTCCTGAAACAGACGTTTTTCTTTGCATCTCTGGAAGATTTAGGTTCTTCTTTGTCCTCAAGTGTTCTGAAATTATTTATGCCATAGTCTGGGATGGGTTTCTTTCATCCATTGTCCTTGACACTTGGTGATTCCTTCTCATCTGGAAACTCATTTGCCCTCATCTTTGGGAGATTGTCTTGATAAAAAAGCAATGTTTTTATTTGGTATCTCTCTCTGCCACTCCAGTCTCTGTTCCCTCTTTCAGAAAGATCTGTGATTTAGCGGCTGGAGCTCTTTATCTCTCTCTGTTCTTTCTGGGAAATATTTTTTTCAACTTTTATCTTCTACACTTTGAGATTTTTCATTCCCATTATCATATCATATTTTTGTTTTTCGCAAATTAGAGGTTGTTGTTTGAATATTTCTATGTTAGAGGCTATTCTTTTTTGTGTATGTGTGTGAGGAAGATCAGCCCTGAGCTAACATCTGCCAATCCTCCTGTTTTTTTTTTTAGCTGAGGAAGACTGGCCCTGGGCTAACATCCGTGCCCATCTTCCTCCACTTTATATGGGACGCCGCCACAGCATGGCTTGACAAGTGGTCTGTCGGTGTGTGCCCGGGATCCGAACCAGCGAACCCTGGGCCCCCGCAGCAGAGCACACGCACTTAACCACTTGCGCCACTGGGCCGGCCCCTGTTAGAGCCTATTCTTGTTTTATGACTGCAAAGTTTTATCTTTCTAAAGACATAAATTACTGCTTGTTTGAAGTTTTCCTTAAATCTCTGGTAGTTTTACGTGTCTGCAGATGCAGGCATTGATGGTGGGCTAGTGCGTAGCTGAGCCCTTAGATGTCACCTCAGCCTTCCCTCCCTCCCTCCTCTCTCTCCTTGTCATGCAGCCCATAGGGGAGACCTTAAGGCCAGTGTGGGGGCTGATGGATAAGTGCTACCCTGTGACCACTCAGGTGGGTAAGGGCTGGGGTCCCCTCTTGCCCTGGAGTGGGGTGGCTGTCCTGGGCACCCTTGGAAGGCACAGTGAGAGGACGGGCCAGCCAGGGAAAGACTCTCAGCCACTCACAGCTGTGTGTCACCTCTCCTGTTTCCCTCTGTAGAGACGCAGAGTTAAGAGCGGGAAGAAGCAAGCCTCTGAGGTAAGTGAGGCCTCCCCTGGAAGGGCCCAGGGCTGGGGCTGTCTCCTGTCAGAGCTCCATGAGACCCAGGGACACCTCAGCTCATGGCAGCGAGTCCCAGAGATAGTGGCAGCGCCCCCCCCCAGGAAACTCGCAACTGTACCACAGCTGGAGCTGAGAAGGGAAGGACATCCCTGTATAGAACTGTATAGGTCTTTAAAAGCAAAGAACTGTATAGTTCTTTGCTTTTATAGTCCAAGTTTGGAGCACAGGGGGAGGGAGGAGGCGTGCTGAGGGCCTTTCTGCCTATATTCTGCAATCTTGTTCCTCCCTGCGTGTCATGACCCCCAAGGCCACGGGAAGACTGAATGATGCTGTCACCAAGGAGGAGACTGACATCTTGTCTCAGGATGAGGGGGAGGTGAGGTCCCCAGGGGAGGAAGCAGCCAGCTCCATTCCTGCTGGGAAGGAGGTGGCTGAGGAGGAAGAGGTGGCAGGGACCCCAAGCTGAGAGGTGAGGCAGCTTGGCGCCTAGTGAGAAGCCCGGGAGCAGTGCAGGGCAGGGAGGCCATGGGGTAGGACGTTCGGGGGGCACCCCCCAGACTGCTGGCCCAAACTGCCATCTCATTGGAGCAAGGAGCTCCATGTGGAGCTGAGAGGCACTAAACATGGTATGAGCAGAGAGAGGGTCTGAATCCTAGCCTCCTCTGATTTCTCGTGAAGTGAGGTCTCAGTTTCCCCATCAGCACAATGTAGAACCCGTCTCATCCCACCATTGTGCTCCTTCTTCCTTCCCAGGAAGGTGAAAAGGTCCGAAAGGAGATTGCTGTACATCTTTCTGGTGAGACAGTGGACCCCATCCTGCTGTAGCAGGAGTGCCCCCTCGCTAATCTCAGTGACCCTGCAGAGGTCACAGATAGCCCACCTCCTCTCAGATGCTCCTGTCTCTGGGAGGGAAGGGAAGACCCCTGGGGGTGGCCAGATGCCCTGGCCTTCCTGAATAAGCCTCCCCTGCCTCCTGCTGCCTTCCTGGTTGGCAGGAACTCGAGACCACTCCCCTTGGACTGGAGGAATACCTAGTCTTTTATCAATGCTGACCTGCTCCCCTGGCATCAGGGGTCCCCTGGACCTGGGGAAAGGTCCTCCCAGCAGGGGACCCACATGGCATGCCTGCTTGTGCTTTTCAGAGGCCTCTGAGGTCGAGAGCAAGAGGAAAGACCCGGGAGCTAGGTGCCCCGGCTTCTGAGGAAGCTGTCGATGGGCTGGTTCTCAGCCTCTGACGTCCCCAAGACTCAGAACTACAAATGACAAAGTATCAATAAATCCTCAGAGTTCTTGCTTCTGCAGGCCCACTTGCCTCCTCTCAGGGGCCTCAGGTCTTCGCAAACACAGTGTGGCCCCGTCCAGACTCCCTGTCCTGACTAGTTACAGGAACACTACTGTCCTGCCACCAAGCCCTAACTCAACAGTGGATACTCTGGAGAGGCTGACAGGGGCCATGGATGGCTTCCTGATGCAGTGCCCAGGGACAGACCAAGTTCCCTGATTGCTCAGAGTTTGGAGCTCCCTGTGATGAGGGCACCTGGAAGACACTGGTGGAACACCTGACAGGGATGCTCTTGGGTGGGGCTCCTTTGGAAAAACAGGCCTGGAGGAGCTGCTTCTGCCCTGAGTGTCGGTGGTCCCTAAGCTGTTAGCCAAATGCACCAGGGGGTCTGCCCAAGACTCGTGTAAGCAGACAGTCATTAGAAACCTTTGGGCACTGCCTGTGTGCTCAGTCCAGAGCCAGTCAATTGTGGAGGTGGGGACAGGCGGAGGATGGCAGTCCTTGCCCTCAGCCTGGGCTCCAGGCTAACAAGGTCACAGCCACAGAGTCAGAGCAGGATGACAGGCCCCAGCGGCCTGAGATGGTACAACCATCTCATTGGCTGAAGGGGAAACAGAAGCCCAGGGCAGGGAGAGACTGGCCCAGGGTCATGGACTGGAATGGCAGAGCAAGGACAAGAGCCAGGGTGTGCTCCTCCAAGGTCCCCACGTGACCAGCTCCTCCTCTGGTCATCCCACTGTCACAGGGGTCCAAGGCTGACCCCTGTCCCTAGGGCATGCCGGCAGCCCACAGGGCTAATTCCCTGCCTGTGGCCGATCCTCCTGGAGAGCCTGGCCTGACCCTGCCACTCCGAGGACAGTGCCCTGAGTCAGCCCTCCTCCACCTCCAGCCTGGCCGTGAGCAACTCCTACTGGGCAGGGGCCTGGACACGAGCATGCCTGAGAGGCTGGGAAAGGGGGACCATCTTATCTTGGAGTGACCGAGAGGCCCAGGGAGGTGCTCACTCATGGGCTGCCATCAGGCTTCCCAGGGAGGGTACTGGCACCTGAGGACTGAGCCTGAGTGTTCACCTGGCACATCCCTTCCCAGTGCCCTGAGTTCCCCACCTATTGGAGTGTCTTAGATGAAATGAGGCAGCAGACTTGATGGTGCTGGCTCAGCTGCTGGCATGTGCTGTGCATTGGGTATCATTGGGCCTGAAATGTGGGTATCCAGACTGAGTGGGGCCCTCCCCAGCCCCACCAGGGCCTCAATGATGTCTCTCAGAAGCCTATTCTAGCTCCTCCTGGGAGGAGCCCAGACCTATGTGTAGATTTTGTGACTAATTCGAGTAGCTAGTGTTTGGTCTCCATGGGTGACTAGGGGGTAAGCTGTCACCTTCTTCACCTCAGTATGTCTGTATCTCAAATGCGTTCAAATGCCAGGTGAGGCTGGATCAGGGAGGTGTACGAGCTGGCCCCAGGGGAGGCTACTGAGGCCACATCACCGCCAGGAGCTAGTCGGGGGCCTGGGTGGCACTCAAACCATGTTGGTGCCATCACACTGGTTTATTGGACATCAGGGCCCCTGCTGAGGATAGCGTTGGGGCTTGGTGTCCCCCTCTAGCGGGGCACAGCACAGAGCAGGTAGGGTGATGGGGTCACCAGGATGCCAAAGACACCGTGGTCACTGGGGCGGGGCTGCCCAGCGGGCACCGAGAAGCTGAAGTGCTGCAGGAGGCAGGTGAAGAAGAGGAAGAGCTCCATGCGGGCCAAGGGCTCCCCGAGGCACAAGCGGCGGCCTGTGGGTGCATATGAGGGGGTCAGTGAGCCTGGGGGCCCTGGCTCCAGACTCCCTCAGGAGGGGACAGCGAGCCAGGCTCCCCACAGGCACCTGCTGAGAAGGGCATGAAGGCCTCCTGCTTGATGAAGCGGCCCTGGGCGTCCAGGAAGTGCTCGGGGTGGAAGCGGAAGGGCTTCTTCCAGACAGTCTCATCCTTCAGCACCGAGGACAGGTTGGTGATGAGCGTCGTCCCCTGGCAGGAGATGCCTGGCATGGGTGGGTCTGGATTGGGAGATGCATGGACCCCTGCTACCAAACATGCATGGGCCACACTCTGCCTGCCACACACTTGTACTCTTTCAAGTCAGTCTCAGCCCAAGAAGCTTCATGGCACCCTCCCTGTCCCCATGGCAGGGCCAAGTGACAGGCCTCCCGTGGGCGCCCTCACTGCCACCTGTCCCTTCATAACAGCTCCTCCAACACACTGCAGCATATTTTAGTTTGTCTTACAGCCTTCCTTCACTGGGGGCTCTGAATAGACAGGGCCGGCCATGCCTCTGCTTCCTCCCCATACCCACCCAGGCTGGACAGTTGGTGCCTGTGGAAATGAGGATTAGGTACTTTGAATTCCAGGCCTGGCCCCAACTGGCAGTGGCCATACTGGGGCTACCAGGGGGCAGGGGTTGCTGAGCTGGGGTGAGGAGGGCCGCAGGCCTACCTTGGGGATGAGGAAGCCCTGCACTTCAATGTCCCGGAATGTCATGTGGGGCACACCCATTGGGATGATGTCCCCAAAGCGCTGCACCTCATGGACCACGGCCATGGTGAAGGGCATGTGGGCCTGGTCCCCCATCTCTGGTCTCCGCGCCTGCCCTATCACCTCATCGATCTCCTGTTGGACACGGCCTGGACAGACAAGCATCCCCACAGTGGTCAGAACCCAGGGGCCTGGACCCTGACCTCCTCCTGACTCCTGTGCAGGGGCTGTGCCCACGTGGAGGAGGAGATCACTGTGACCCCTGAGCCAGGGCCCAGCCTCAGCTCAGAGCTCCTGGTGGACAACCCAAGCTCCAGGTCCCCAGCCTGACCCTCTCCACCCTGGCCCATGCCACCAGGTCCCCAGGCTGGGCTCACGCTGCACATCCGGGTGCAGGATCATGAGCAGGAGGGCCCAGGCTAGCGTGGTCGAGGTGGTCACCATCCCGGCAGTGAACAGGTCATATACCACCAGGCGCAGGTTCACATCATTGAAGCTGGTCTCGGGGTTCCCCTTGGCCTGGGCCATGTAGAGAGGGTGGGCTCAGGGGCAGAGGGAGGAAACCCCAAATGTCCTCCCACTCTGTACCCATCACCCAGGGTGACTGATCACTAAGTGATACACAGGCCCCACCTTGCCCAGGCTCCCCTCATGGGCCCTCACCCCACAACCCATGTCCCTGTCCTTGTCCCTGGCAGCTCACCTTCTCCACCTCGTCCAGGAAGCTGTCAGTCAGGTCTCGGGGTGGTTGGGCCCGGTCCCGGGTCATCCTGTGTTCGGTGATCAGCTCGTCCAGCAGGGCCATGAAGGCCCTATGCCTTGGAAAGACCGAGGCAGCCAGCCCCGGGAGCCGCAGGAGCTGGGGGATCGCATTTAGCACCTGTGCAGGCCATAGATGTGGGGTCCTGGATCCTCCCTGTGCTCAGGTGTTCACCCCATGTCAGGTGTTAGCATCCTCCAGGGTGTCCCCACCATTGACCTGGTTCCTCCCTAAGTTCAGGCCTTGGCACTGCCTCTTCACCTGGGCCCCAAAAGGACAAATCTAAAATCTACATCTCCTGGGTTCCTGTGGCTTCCAACGAAAGAGGTACAGGTTCCTTAGCCCTTTTGTGGGGCCCGCTGAGCCAACTCCCCTCTATACAAATCCGCCACCGCGGAGGCCCATTGCAGGGCGGGAGTCTCCTCCATGGAGCTCACCTGCAGGGTTCCCTCGGCTCCTCTACCCTCGCACCTCGGGCACGAAGCCGTTCTCATCTTGCAGTAAGCCGTCCATTAGGTCCAATAGCTTGAGGAAGCGCGGGTCGTTGTACTCGAAGCGCTGCCCAAAGGTCAGGGAGCCGATCACGTTGCCCACCGCTTTCTTCAGGAGGGCGCTGGGGCTAAAGGGGAGTCCTGGGAGGGGACGGTGCAGGTCAGGGGGTCGCCTCCATCTCCTCTTCCCAGCCTCCATCCCTGTCTCCTGTCCCTCAGCCCAGCACTCACCGGCCTGGTCTGCGAAGGCGGCACAGAGGCACGAGGCCTCCTCGGTCACCCACTGCTCCAGTGACTTCTTGCCCAGGCCGAAGTTGCGCAGGGTGGACACGGAGAAGCGCCGCTGCTCCCGCCACGCGGGTCCATAGCGGGCAAAGATCACCCCTGCGGGCGAAGCGGGCACGTGGGCGCGGCCCAAGTGTGCCCTGGCCCCGCCTCTGCGTGCATACCTTGCTCACAGTCTCGCCTGCCCTTCCGTCTACACCAGCGACATGCCCCGGCCCCGCCCCCTGCCCTATACTCTCGCAGTCCTGCCTGCTGTGGTGAAGGCCCGGCACCCGCTCCCACTGCACAAACCACATCGCTCCCACCCCACCAAATCCCGCGCACTTCACACCCGCTTCCGGCTGGGGACAGGTACGACCCTCTGTCCACCCACATTGCTCGACAGCTCTACTCACAGCCGGCAGCTCTTGGCCCCACTCTCGGCTCTCCGCACCGTAACACCCTTCCAGTTCAGGGAAGGTCTCGCTCCGCCCGTCGCCCCGCCCACACTCACTCCGTCCTCCTCATTCCTGCCACTCCGACATCCCCTTTTTACTCGCAGCGGCCGGGGGCCCGCCCACTCCTTGTAAGGCCCCGCCCTCCGTCCCGCCCATGCCAACCTCTCCACCCTGGGCAAAGGCTCATTCCTCTACCTGCCGCCCCTTCAAATTTGCTGACTCTTCCTTGGGCCGGAAGACCACCACTCTGCCTGCGCTTGACCTTGCCGGATCTCGGGTCACTGCGGGCGGAGTCCCCACCGGGGCGTGGTCACCCACTCCTCCGCTTACCTTCGGAGCGCGGCCCGAAGCCCAGGTGATTGAAGATGGGTGCAGGTGCGCGGTCGGATGTGTCCTCGCTGCGGTACGCCAGAGCCTCGCGCATGGCCGCCAGCCCGTTTAGCACTACCACGGGCTTCCAGGCCAGCTGCAGGCTGAACACGTCCCCGAAGCGGCGCCGCAGCTGCAGACCGACGGTCGAGGGCGATGGTGAAGACGGGCCCCCGACCACGTTACGTGCCCCAGTCTCCTGGCACTAGCCTTGGGGGACCCCTGACCCCCCGGCAGGGAGCAGGTGCAAGGACTTTATCTGGCTTTGTTTCGCTGGGGGTCACAACCTCTATGGTTCAGGACCTTACGTTGGATCAGACCATCCAAGCTATGACTTTGCAGAAGTCACTAACATTGTCAGAAGGCAGGGTTAGCATCCTGTTTTACAGGTGAGGATACTGAGGTTCATAGACGTGAGCAGTGAGGTCCAAGGTCTCACAGCAGCAAAAGTTCGAACCTGGTCCCTGTCTTTCTCAACCTCGATTTCCTGATTTAAATGGTACTCATGATCAGACTCCTCTCCCCAATCTCAAGACCTTTCCTCCTGATGTCATCAGAAGGGACTCAGGCTCACATAATGTAAGCTCTATCCAACTGCCTCCCAAACCCTCTGCCAAGTCCCACCCACTCCAGGCCTTTACCCTCTCTGACTTTTGACTGGAAAATTTAAACTGTCTTCCAGGCCCTGCACAGATGCCCTCCCCCAAGAGGCCTCTCAAACCTGCCTCCTCCTTTCCACCCAGCTCACTGTCCAGCCTGTGGCTTCACCCACCACCTACTGTCTGCTGCTGGGTGGGTCCCCAGGGCTTCTGTGCCCACCCCCCCACCTTCCTCACCCTAGTAAAGCAGCAAACCGTGTCCTGAAAGTCCACCTGCAGCAGGTTGCCCAGCCCAGGCAGGGGCATGGGGCCTGGTGGGTAGTGTGCAGCCCAGCGTTGTCGCCGGTGCAACAGGTCCACCAGGAGCAGGAAGATGGCTGTGGCCACAGCCAGGGGCCCCAGTGTCTCCCCAGTCAGCAGCCCCATGGCTGCCTCAGTGGGCACTGGGCTCCTCTGGACACACTGGCACCCCTCACCACACCAGGCACCTAGGACCAGCACTCTCACCAACCCTGAGGGTTTGACCTGCCTGGGCCCTCTTTATAAAGGGAGCTGAGACTGGCCTTTGCCCTCTACACTGAACCTACCTGTTGGGATGACTGTGCTGCCAGACGGTGCAGGGAGGGGCTGGGGAAGATTAGTGCAGGGGTGGCCACAGAAGTCCTGTCCCTGCTGCCCTGTCCAGGTGCATATCCTGCATGAGGGAGAGAGAAAAGGGAAAGCCCCACCCCCAGCCTGACTCCGCAGCATTGTACAGGCTCTGAGGAAGACTAGGGGTCTTTGGACTTGATCTTGCCACCCAGCTGTCACAGAAGGCTCACATTCCTAATCTTGTCACAGTCTCATGCCCGAAACACATTCTTGACTTCTCATGTCTCACCTGCCTCCTCCTCAGTGACCTTCACTTCCCAGGTGTGTTACTGGCACTCTCAGGGAGGTCACAATGATCAGAGGGATCACAGGCAGGGGGTGGGGGTATGAGGTTCTCTCTGTCCCTCACTTCACATGAGTACACTCAATACACACAGACACAGATCACACATAAACCACTCGCACAATCAGACACTACCCGCATGCTCACATACTAACACACAGCACATGCACACATTTACACAGCCACAAAACTGTATACACACACGTTATTACATGTACCACTTACACACACTTTCATGCGTGCACGTGCAGACCCAGCCTGAGGGCAACTGTTCTCAGTGGCTGCCTCTACTCAACCCCTCTTCTCCCAGCTGGAAGGCTGCTGGCAGTGATGCTGAGGACCCTCACCTGGCTGGCTGCTGGCTCAGCTTCCATGGTTTCCATGTGGTTGTGGCCATTGCACATTTGAATCTGGGGATGGAGAGGCAGCAGGGCTGTTTTCAGAGCTCCCTAGTCACCCGACCAGCGAGTTCGAAGACCAGGAGACCCTAAGTTGATTACAAACTGGTCGTTGGGTCTCCTACTCTTGAGGCCACCCTGGTGATGAATCTCCTCGTGCCTCTGTCCACTTTCCTGACCTGGAGAATTGTGGGGTGGGCACTTGCCCTTGTTGACTGAGCTGCCAGGAAGCTCAGGGTACTAGGGTGGCTTAGCATAGGATGTGACCCTGTCCCCAGAGGAGGGGGCCTGCTTCCTCCTCCTCATTATAATTTGTCCTTGAACATCAGTTGCTCCAACTCTTTCTGGAAGACAAGGGGGTGGACAGCAAGTGGGGATGATGTAATTTCTTTACACCCCAACAGGTCTGCTGAGGACCACAAGGAATGGATTCTCAGGCCTCCCCCTTTGCTGGCCTCCTCCCTCTCCCTGGGCCAGGTGCCCCCTGCTCCAGCACCATCCCTTCCAACCCTGACTCTGTGGTCCCTCAAGGAATGATTCAAACCTCTGCATCACCCCATTCCAGGGCATGCCACTGTCTGGATGGAATTATACCTACCAGGCCCTCCCTCTTGCTCAGCCTCTTGCTCAGCCTCCAAGCACAGGGGTGACCACACCCTGCCGTGGCTGGGCCGCTGCCCACTGGCCTCACCACCCTCCTACTTCAACAAAAAAAGGGGTGGGATTTGAGGCTGAGTTTTTTAATCAGTGAAGCTTATGGGAACTCTGAGGCCAAAACCCACTCAAATGGGAAGGCTCAGGAGCCTAGAGGGTGGGGAAGGGACATTTCCTGGGTAGGGGTCAGGCCTCCTCAACCCATCCCAGGGGTATCTGAGGCAAGCTCCCATTCTGGAAACAGCTGGAGTATTCTCTCCCCAGCTGAAGCAGGGCCTGCAGGAGGAACTCCCCATCTTCTTGTCCCCCAGTTCTCTCCCTCACTTACTCCCAACAGTAAGAGGACCAGCTTCTTCCCAGGGTGCCTCTGGACATCTCTGACTCAGAGATGGCTACACAGAGATGGCTCCCCAGGGCTGTGGCTTCTTGGTATTGGCTTTCAATGTTTGCAGTTCCTGCTTGGCTTGTGAAAGCTGCTCCTCCCCTTCTGAATTCCCATATCCCCACACTCCTGCCGGGCCCAGGGCCAGAGGATATAGCTTGCTGGGGCCCAGCTGGGCCTTCCTCAGTTTGCCCGGCCTTCCCTCCATCTTGCCTTGGTCAGGCCTTGCATTCTGTTCCACCCCCACTGGTCAGACCATGTGCTGGGTGCTGGGCTAGGCACTTGCGGCCTAGCAAAAGACGATGGTGGGCACCTCCTGCAAGGTGCTCATGACCAAGAGGAGGAGTTGGAAGCCAGAGAGCTGACATGCCAGGCTAGCAGTGCGGGGACACTGCCCCAGGCTGGAGCAGGACTTTCTGGGAAGACTTCCTGGAGGACTTTGGCTGGCTTGGCATTGCAAGCCACAGTGATCTGACAACGAGACCAAAGGGCTACCTCAAAGTCCTGTGCAGGAGGTGAGGGGCAGTGGCAGGGAGGCAGCTTTGCAAGTATGGCCAAGGAATGGACTGGTGGAACTGTGGTTACTGGGCCTCCAGGAGGCAGGGAGACCAGTTTTGAGGCCACTCAACAGACGAGATGGGCAAGAACTACAGGCTCCCTGTGGAAATCCCAGATCCAGCCTGTGGCTTCTCATTGGCCTCAGTTGAATGTCCTGTCCTTTGGGCAGCAGCTCTCTGCTTAGGACTGTCAGAGAATCAGGTGGTGTCAGCAGGAGGCAGGATGGTCGGGGTATTGGTCACACAGTGGTCCTGGATAAACTGTCTTTATCCACCCTTTGTTTTGGATGTGTCACCACCTCCCAAGCAGTCACCCTAATGTGGATACGAAGGGCAGGGACAGACATGCCTGTAATTCAAGCAAAGCCCCTGATACTAAGGGTTTGTTATCCAGGACGGGATGGCCTTGAGGAAACCTTGTGAGTACAATGAGCACACAGTACAATTGTGAGGCTGATGGCCTTTGCCACCATTGTGCAATTGCAGCTTCCATTGATCAGGCACTTGCGTGCCAGGCATTGTGGTTCACTCTGCGTGTCCTCCCCACAACCCTGTAAGGCAGGTGGCTTTATGGTCCCCAAGGCATGGAGGAGACTGAGTCTCAGGGGTCACATCAGGAGGTCAAAGTCACAGAGCAGCATTCGGGTCCATCTCAAAACACACGCTCTGAGCTGCTGTTCTACATGTAGTTACTGAGATCTCTTATTTTAGAAACACACTCAGCCCGCCCTCGTTGTACTTCTGCTCTGGTGAAGCTGCTGGGGTGGAGGGGTGAGCACCCCCCAAGGACCACGCGTGTCACAGGTGTTCACCCAGCAGGGAAGTGTCCTTTCGACACTGGGCCCTGAGACTTAGAGTCCAGGGCTGACGTCAGCACGATGGTGGACCAGGAAGAGCCGGCCCTGGGTCCCCAACGCGATGCGGAGCAAACCCTGGGAGAGAGCCCCAGAAAGCAGGTAGGAACCGCAGCCCCAGCCAGGGCGCTGGGAAAATTGGTGACATTTTACTCGCCTTGCCCCTCACCCCGCGGTATGGAGGCCCCGCGGAGGAAACTCCCAATTCTCGCTCTTCCCTGGGGACACAGGGGAAGAGGCGAAGCTGCGTGCAGCTTGTGGGGCCGCGGGCCTGGCCGCCTCACCTGACTCGCAGTGCAGACCCGCCCAGCGCAGCGCTAGGATCCAGGTGTGGGCCCAGGGAGGGCGGCCGCGTCTGCAGTTCCGCAGGCGGGCGCCGGGGGGCGCAGGAGGCCGCGGCGGAGGAGGGAACAGGGGCAGGAGGGGTAGCTGGGCATGGCCCGCCTCCAGGAGTTGGTTTCTAGGTGCAGGGCTTCAGCTTGGCAAGAGGAAAAGGTTCTGGAGAACCACTGCACAACAATGAGAATCTACTGAACAGTACTGAACTGTACACTTACTGGTTGAGATGCCAAATTCTATGTTTTTTTTTTTTTTTTTTTTAACCAGGATTTAAAAAAAAAAAAAAAAATCTCCCCTACATACCTATTAGAATGGTCAAAATCCAGAACACGGAGAACACCGAATGCTGGCAAGGATGTGGAGCAACAGGAAGTCTCATACATTGCTGGTGAGAATGCAAAATGGCAAAGCCACTTTGGAAGTCAGTTTGGGGGTACTTTACAAAACTCAACATTCTCACCATATGATCCAGCAAACACGCTCCTTGATATTGACTCAAAGAGGTCACACTCTTTGATATTGACCCAAAGAGGTTGACAATTTATGTCCACAGAAAAACCTGCACAGGGATGTTTACAGAAGCTTTGTTCATAATTGCTCAAACTCAGAAGCAATCAAGATGCCTTTCAGCAGGTGAATGGATAAACTGTGGTACATCCTGACAATGGAATAGTCTTCAGCACTCAAAAGAAATGAGCTTTCAAGCCATGAAAAGCCATGGATGAACCTTAAATGCCTATTACCAATTGAAAGAAGTCAAATCTGAAAAGGGTATATGCTGTGTGATCCACCTGTACGACATTCTGGAACAGGCTAAACTGTGGAGACAGACAAAAGATCAGTGTTTGTCGAGGGCTGGGTGGAGGGAAGGATGAATAGGAGGAGCACAGAGGATTTTTAGGACAGTGAAACTTCTCTGTATGATCCTATAATGGTGGATATATGTCAGTATACATTTGTCCAAACTCATAGAATGTACAACACTAAGAGTGAACCCTGATGTAAACTGTGGACTCTGGGTGATAGTGATGTGTCAGTATATGTCCTGGCCCTGCCCCTGCCCAGCTTTCACAGTCCCACCCTCTTTGACACAGACCCTGCCTTCTGCACCTGCTTAAACAGTTCCACTTCTTTTGGTACAGGCCCCACCACCTGGTCCCACTCCCCTATGTCTTGTCTCCCCCGCCCCCAATCCCGCCCACTTTGACCCTCTGTCCCACTGCCGACAGGTCCCAGCCCGCCCTCCTGTCCTTGCTCAGACAGTCCCGCCCCCTTTCAGTACAGACCGGGTTCTCGCTGTGCTCACAGGCCTCCTGCCCCAGCTCTGGTACAGGCTCCTTCCTCCATGCCCTGGGCCCACATTCGATCGTTATTCTCTCTG